GAAATGCACAAGAGCCCCCCCGGGACTTCCTGCTGGCCCCGGGCTGCACGTGGAGTTCTGCATTCCTCCTTTGAAATGTACAAGAGCCCCAATGGAGGAATGTAGAATGAGGAATGTGGAAGTGCCTATCGACTCGTCAAGTAAACCACTAGTTAACATCCTTATGGGGGATCAGCCTTTTGAAGGATCGAAGTTGTTTGCAGAATCCATCAGTGCTGCTCTCCATACCCAAGAGTAGAGGTGAGGATCCTTATTTGCAGGGCTCGCCGAACCGCAGCAAGCCCCGCTCGCCAGCCGCGCTGTCTGACGATCTGCGCATGCAGATCTGCGATCGCCAGAACCCGGCTCTTCCTGGTTGCAATCTACTCGCCACGGGTGAGTAGATTGCATTATTTGTCGAGCCCTGCTTATTTGGGTTGGGGGGTTGCTGACCTACAGAATAATCAGTTGGGGGCTGCACACAAGTGAGAAGCAAAAAAACCCAACCAACCAACCAAACAGAAACCTCACTAACATGACCCCTGACTGAAAAGCAGAAAGACACTCTCTACATTTCCCTTGCACAACAGAGCCTAAAGGGGCCTGGGCTAGTAGATTTTGTGTGCTCCAGCCCCATGGGGAGATGGCAGGAGGGCTGGAGTGCCAACATGGGCTCCCCAGTGCTTGGGGGGAGTTCAGGGCCAGATCCAGGCAAGCACATCCCCACCCCTGCCCTAAAGGACTCTTGATATACCCTGATAACCGTGCGTATTGACATGTCTGTAACAAAGAGAAAGCAGGGGAGGTCCTTCAACCAGAGATACAGGCCTACTCCTTTCTCACAGCCTCAGTGGCACAATGAAGACGTAAGCAGCGTCAAAAGAGATGTAGACAGCCAACTGATCACTTGGCAACATCCCAGCCCTCAACATCACTCCAGAACTTTCAAGGGCAGGACAGTCCCGAACTCTTTAAGGCTGAATCCAAGTTTCGTCACATTGTTTGGGAACAGACTAGCATCCTTTTACCAAGTGTGGAACAACATCATCACTGGCAGATGGGTGTTGGAAATAGTGTGGAATGGTTGCTGCATCCCTTTTTCAGTTACCTCTCCTGCCTGTTCCCACCTGTCCCTCTTCAGAGACCCATCTCACAAGACCATTCTCATACAAGAACTAAACCATCTCCTGCAACTTAGAGCAATAGAACATGTACTTGAACAACACAGAGGGAAAGGGTTCTATTCCAGTTATTTTCTTACGATAAAGAAAACCAGGGGATGGAGGCATATCCTTGATTCATGAAACCTCAACCAGTTCATTTGTACAGTTTCAAGATGGTAACCTTGCCACTATAATCCCTGCCTTGGAGAAGGGAGATTGGCTGTCTATCCTCGACCTACAGGATGCATATTTTCATATTATTATATGCTCTACACACAGATGTTTCCTCTGCTTTGTGATACACAATTATCATTTCCAGTACACAGTACTTTTGGACTTTCAACTGCTCTGTGAGTCTTCTCCAAAGTCCTAGTGGTAGTCCCAGCACATCTCTGTGAAATGGGAATTGTCATCTTCCCATATCTGGATGATTGCCTCTTAAAAGGACCCTCTTTTCTTGACATGGAACAAGTGGTGACCATCACCAGAACCCTGTTCAACAAGCTGGGCCTACAACTGAACTTTTGAACATGCACATTAACACTCATGCAGCACTATAGCATCACTCCCATTGCACAGAGCTGCAGCCATCATGGACCTGATTTCCCTAGTACAACACAGTCCACATGTTACAGCAAGGTTTTGTCTCCTACTACTGGGCCATACTGTCATAGTCCCACATGCATGTTCCAAATGAGGCCTATACAGGTGTGGCTATGCACAGTCTACAGACCACACTTCCACCACATAAACAAATGCTTCTCTGTGCACCCCAAGATAAAGGAATCTCTTTCTTGAGGGTGGATTGGGATAACTCCTGCAGAGGGGTACCCTTTCATCCTAAGCCCTGGCTGTGATGATCACCACAGATACTCTCTAATAGTATGGGGATCTCATATTGGCTGCCACATTGTTCAAGAACAGTGGTCTCGAGTAGTCCAAGCTACATATCAATTTACTGGAGTTCAGAGTGGTCTGCAAAGCATGCCAATGTTTTCTACATTTCATATAAAGTAAGGTAGTAAAAATAGTTTCAGACAATCTGACAACAATGTTTTACATAAAACACCAGGCCGGAACTTGCTCTTACCTAGAATATATCCAACTATGTCTAGAAGATATCCAACTATGGGGATGGTGCATCCCATGCCACTTCAGTCTCAAGGCATCCTCTCTTCCTGGCAAAGATAACATATTGGCAGATAACCTCAGCAGACTATTTACTTTGAATTCAAATGATGGGGGTACCCTGCCATAATCCTGTTTGCAAACCGTTCCAGTGCCAAATGCTTGAGGTATTGTTCCAGGGCAGGCCTTAGCTCCCAGTCCCTGTGTGACGCTTTCCCAATAAAATGTGATGCACCCCTACTACATGCATTCATGCCACTGCCTTTACTTCAATGGGTAATTCTCAAGATAAAGGAAGATAGAGCTAGGGTTATCCTAATAGCACCAATTGGCCCAGGCAAACCGGATTCCCTTACCTGCTCCAGATAGTTACTGGGGGATAGTTAACACGCCCTTGGTGCTTCCCTCCAGTTTCCTGTCTCCTCACTCAGAACAATGGAGATCTTCATCACCCCCAATGTTCATTCATGCTTAATGCCACTAAAACCAACATGCTCAGCACATGTACAGGAAATCCTCCTAAGTTCTCGGAGTCCATGTACAAGAAAAACATACTTACACAAGTGGCACAGACGGCCCCACCAGGACACTCCTCAAAGAAGAAAAGGCTACTCACCTCGTACAGTAACTGATGTTCTTTGAGATGGTTGTCCCTGTGGGTGCCTCCCCTCAGCTTCAGAACTTTTTGTTCTGTGTAGAGAAGGAACTGAGGGATTGGTTTTGGCTGAACACGTGCAATAGCCATGCAAACTGTGCATGCCGGCTGCCCCACATGCACACTCTACCAAAGGCACTGCTATCTTAATTCTCTGACTAGAGGTGCAGTTGTGCCAAAACACTTAATGTTGAGCACCCACAGGGACAGCGAACTTGAAGAACTTTAGTTACAGCACAAGGTGGGTAATCCTTTCTTACCCAGGAAGATTAATAGTTTTTTGCACCAATTTTCAGCTGTTTTTGTAGTAGTAATAAACACAAAATCCTGGGGAAAATTAAATAAACTATTAAAATGAAGGACCCTATTTATGACAAACAGATCTAGAAATATATATATATTTCAACATGCTTCTGCAATGCACTACCCTCTAAATGCAATCATTAACAGAAATTGCAGAGGTTAACTTTTACGTGCATGTACATATTTTATTCCTGGTGAAAAGACACCGCAGGAATAAATAAACTCTTTTCTAGTTTCAAGTATAACCAAAGTGAAACTATTGTTAATTTTCACAACAAATTCTCTCTTTACCCTTACTAATCTCTTTAAGGTAATGTCACAGCCATAGTACATGTGGACAGCTTAGTTCACTGACATGGGGAATATGTGAATTATCTGCCAAATTTACTGGATTTGTGGTACCAGTTCACTTTTAACAGGAATATAACTGTTTTAGGCTATGTTGAAGATATAGAAAAGAAACACAAGAGGTCACTCTTGCAACTGATTTTGAAAGTATTCTCTCAATTCATTGCTGTACTTCCAAAGGCTAATTGCGAGTTCATTTTGTCTTGAATTTATTGTTCTAGATACCTATAATAGTCTAACATAAATTTAAGAAACAAGATCATACTTCGTGGAAGGAAGCATAACCCTTAAATCCTTTGACCTTTTAGAAATTTGCTGTTCCCTACAAAGAATAAAAAGTGTATGTGTGTTGCTTGGAGGTGTTGGGGAGGGGAGGATAAGAAGAAAAGATATGATCTTAGTGGAAAGACAGCACAAGAAATGTCTTAGTCACTAAGTTCTAATCTGTTAAAGCATATTAGGAAAAACTTCCTAACTGTCAGGGTGGTTAAACACTGGAATAAATTGCCCAAGGAGTAAGGATGTAATAGTGTAGTTGATTAACCAATACGCAAAAACTTATTGGTTAATGCTATAGACTACACTCATTTCTCCTCCCCTCCCCCCGCCCACCTTGCCAGTACTTTTTTTAGCATGTTGGCCAGCAGCCTGGCTCAGTCTTGGCTCACCCCGGGTTGGGGACCTACTTCTACTCCAGCTCTTCATTTAAAGTGTGTTAGGAGGTAGGCAGCCCGGCTCATGCTGGGTTCAGGAGCTCAGATACCTCCCCACCCCCTCAGACAGGGGCTGCTGCTACCCCTTGATGCTGCCTCTGTATCAGAGGCAGCAACACTGGGCGACAAGCAACCGGTCCGCGAGGGGAACTGCTTTTTAAACTAGCTCCCCTTATGGACCAGCTCCCGCCTGGCACCCCACAGAGGCAGTAGCACAGAGTGGCAGGGGGCTCCTCGGGAGTGTTGCTGGCGCACACTGGCTGCCTGCCCCATCCCCGGTAACTGTAGAATAGTTGAGTAAGTGATAAAAATTTATGAGGTTAATCGACTATTCAGTTAACCAATATTTAACATCCCTACTATGGAGGTTGTAGAATTTCCATTACTGGGGATATTTAAGACAGACCTCTATCTGGGTGATCTAGATAGTGCTTGGTCCTTCCATGAGGGCAGGGGGCTGGACTTGATGACCCCTTGAGGTCCCTCCCAGTTCTAGTATTCTCTAGTATCACTAGATCACTTTCTGAAACATATCTATAGTGTTAAATGAGGAAATACTGTACAGCGATGGAGTCAGATTCAATGGCAACAGGTGGTAGACTATTACTGTACATGTAATGGGTTTTGCTTATGATGGCATTATTTTACTCTCTAATACATAATGTGATTATTGGTAATGGATTTATGGGGTTTTTTTTGTTTGTTTGTTAGGTGAAAGACCATTTAAATGTAGTGAATGTGGAAAAGCCTTTAACCAGAAGGGGGCATTACAGACACACATGATTAAGCATACAGGTGAAAAGCCTCATGCTTGTGCCTTTTGTCCAGCAGCCTTTTCTCAGAAAGGCAATCTTCAGTCACACATACAGAGAGTTCATTCCGAGGTAAATACAATTTTGTTAATAATATGATGGCTGTTTAATACACTGCTTATCAACTTTTAACTTTTTTCCTCTTAGTATTTAACTGACCTTATTATATATATTACATTATTTTATATAATATATATAAAATATTATGATATAATATTTATATTACATCGTTTCTGTATTGTAATACAGCTATGTTTTACCCTGTTGCCTGCACCCAACATAGTTTATATGCTAAACCAGAGATTACTGCTCAATTTATTGTAGTAATTTAGATTTGCTAAAATCATTTTCTTTTATTAGTAGCAAAAGATTAGTTTGCTCTTATCTTTAAGTATACTAGTTAATGATGAATCAGCTGGGTAATTTAAGAGAATTATTCATTACAATTTATATTAGTGAAAAAACCCCTATCCTTGTCTCTAGCTACCTTTTATATAATTGAAAATACAATTGGAAAAGCTGCTGGCTTTATCTTTATCCATTAGTATAAGATAAGACAACTAGACATAGATTTCAAAGCCAGACAATACCACTCCACTCATCAATACCAGAAAATAAATTTTAGCCATTAGAAAGGGGCGTTGAGAGTTACAGTTGGAGCAAAAGAAACTATCATGGAAGATACATACTGGGGGATAGTTAGCACATTAATTCTGACTTGACACACACATTCATTGATCTTAAGTTTAAAAAAAAGGCCATTATTATCATGTACAGTTTGGACCTCTCTGGTCTAGTACCATCAGGACCTGACTGGTCTTGAATGAGAGAATTTGTGGACCAGAGGAGGTCCCCTGCCAGTGGACCCCAAACCCACCACCTGCTGCCAGTTCCCTGCACATCCCAAGTTCCAGCTCCTGCCATGGGGCTCTGGCCCTAGCCCTGTACTCTCAAGGGATGCTGCAGTGCTCCAACCCCTGCCCCGCACTCCTGGGAGTTGACAGGGGGCTCAGGCTGTTCTTGCAATGGGCTGCTGTAGGGCTCTGGCCCTGTGCTTCCAGAGGCTGCTGTTAGGGCTCTGGCCCTGGTCCTGCTTGCAGCGGGCTGCTACAGGACTCTAGCAATGGCTCTGTGCTCCTGAGGGTTGTTGTGGGCTCTAGGCCTGGTCCCGTTTGCTGTGGGCTGCCAGGAGGCTCTGGCCCTTGCCTCGCACTCCCAGGGACTTCTGAGGAAAACCTCACAGTTCGTACCAATTAATTTGGGCTCAGGAGGCTTGAGAGCTGTTTTGTTGGTGTATAGACTTCCTGGCTTGGGCTAGAGCCTGTGTTCTACAATGTTGCAGAGTAGGAGGATCCCAGAGCTCCAGCTCCAGCCTGAGGCCTGGAAGTCTAAAGCAGTCCAAGAGCCCAAGCCTCATGAGCTCAGGTCAGGATACGTTAGCTGTGGATTTTTCTTTGTTGTGGAGACAAACCCTGAAATTCCCCCAAAATGCTTACGATGGTCATGTCGTTGAATAATAATGGCCTTGGTCAAAAGAATAATACTGAATTGTTCTGTTAGCTGGAGGTAAATAGCCTTGATGAAATGTGCAGCTTTCTTTTAAATGAGCTAATACAATAGTTTATAAAGAAAAAAGTAGAATTGGAAAATCTTGTGAAAAATAATATTTTCTTTATTCTTTAAGGTGAAGAATGGCCCTACCTATAACTGTACAGAATGTAGCTGTGTTTTCAAAAGCTTAGGCAGCTTAAATACTCACATCAGCAAGATGCATATGGGTGGTCCACAGAACTCGACAAGCACTTCTACAGAAGCATCTCATGTTACAATGGTAAACTTTCCTTTTATGCTATGCTAGTGACTTTGAGAATTTAATAAAATTGGATATTTTTAATAGATATTCTCTTTCAGATGGTGTTAAAACTCTTAACAGCTTTCTTATCTGTTTCTTCTGAGGTACAGAATAGTGTGAGAAAATTCAAGTTTATGAACAGATAGTGTTTATGGAAAACATGTTATTAAAGATGAATGATGAAACAGTCTCATACAAATACTGAAGATATCTTACTAAATGAGCTCTCTCTTTATTTCATAGGGGAAGTAGCTCTATCTTTTTGCAACCACTTTCAATCCATGGTCCAATAATTTTCAGGCCTGTTTTTTTTTTCAAATTTCTTGAGTAGCATTAACTTCAGTTGGAGTACTAGGTGTGCATGACCTAGTATTAACACTGTATTGTCAGGGATCTTCTTTTTCTTCACCTCCATTTGGTCATTTCCTGGGTGCCTGGATAGCCATCACTATTGACAAATGGGTTCTTAGTACTGTGGAACTGAGTTTCACGTTCTAGTTCTTTCAAGGGTAAAGGGAAGCAGTAGCTCCCCTTCTCTATGGAATCATTCAGGTATACTCCTAATTGGATGACTGGCTTTTTTGGTGGCATTTCAGACAACAGGAAGAAGAAGGTCTCCATGCAATTCAGATTCTATTTGACACTCTGGGCCTGATTTAGTCCATCTTTTCTCCAGTACAAAGAAGCAAGTTTATTGAAGCATTATTAGATTCAACATCATCAATGGCATACCTTCCTCAGGTCAGATATCAAATGATCCTGCAATTTATTTAGTTTTCTCCAAGCTTATCCACAATGATGAGACTGGCTGCAACTTTTAGGATATATGCCCTTTTGAATGTAGGTGACTCAGACATGTAAAAAACCTGAGAGGTATTTAAAGACTGGTTAAAATTTATCTGCTATCCATTAGTTCACTTTATGGACACACTGATTCCCAGACATGCAAGTGTGCCATCTTCCTTGAATTGGATGAGAGTCCAGTTCAGTTTCGCTTTGTTTCATATTCTTCCCTTCCCATTATGACTCAAGTTATGGACACATCTTTCTTGGACAGGAGTGCACATCTATGTCCCTTGAAAGCTCAAGGTGTTTGGGTAAACAAACCAGGCACATAAATATAATATAATTAAGGGAAATTTTCACACTTTTTTTTCTGACACAATTTTCTCTATTGAAGAGAAGGTCTGTCCAAGTACTTACAATGTGACAGCAGTGTTTCACCTGAACAGGTGGCAAGGAAGGGGCAGATCAGCTTGACAGCCTTCTGATAGAGACAGTCTCTCTGGAATTTTTGTGTTCAAAATGAAACGTAACTCTGATGGAAGCCTCTGGCAGAACACCTCAGCAGATCCCTGAGCAGAGATAATGAGTGCTCACTAAAGATTGACACAGTAAGAGCATTTGTTTCAAACATGGGTCACACTGACTGTGGACCTATTTACTATAAAGTGGAACAAACAATGCCATTGGTTTTGATGGCTTCTTGCCCTTTCCAGTATTTATTGGTGAAGGTTGCCTTTCTATTGGCAGTTACTCCTACTTATGAGGGTTGGACAACTGCAAGCATTATATATTGACCTGGATAAGCAAGAGATGGCTAAAGTTGCTAAATTTCTTTCTGGTTACTGATTTCCATCTCAACCAGACCATCTTTTTACCTCTCTTTTTTTCTAAACCATGTTCTCACAAGGAGGAGTTAAAACTTCATTTCCTGGATGGTTGTATGTTATGCTTATAAGTAGTACATGGGATCTTTATAGGGGGAAAAGGCAATTCGCCTTGTTCATTGAGAATACAATGGCAAAGCGGTTAGCATATGATTACATAGACAGACACACGCACACCCACACACTTTGTCCCACCAATCAATGTTATATTGGTGAGACAATGTGTGGTCTGTGGATTGATCATGGGTGGAGGGGTGGCGTTCTGTTGGTCTGGTCTGATTCTTTAGTCTCTTAAGGCAAAACAGTTCTCCTTTCATAATAGTTCTTTCCCATCAGGATCAGTGGGTTTTGCATTGTCACACAGTTTTTCTGACAGATGTTTGTTATTTCCTGTTGTTTCTCTTGCTCCTTATCTCCTTTTGTTCTGCCATGCTAAGCTGGTTTTGATCACGAATTTCTTGTCCCAATTGATAGGTGCTTGTCTCCTTTCAAAGCTATTGATTTTCCTACTGCTTACGTCTTGATGGGGATATACAGCAATCTTCTGGTGCTTCTGCGTCTGTCCTTGGCTTCTCCCTAGAACATCTGGTCTTCACACTTCTCTCTTATCCCACACATTTCTCATTCACACAAAGCAGGCTTGATTTTTATTACAGAGAAGCAACTTCTCTAATAAAGAAGCAGTATGCACATTCAAACAAGGACATCAAATTACAATTTCAAGAAGGATGTTTGTTTGTAAGCCTAAAACAAAATAGTGACTATAAGGTTCTATTCCTGCCTTGGAATCTACATTAGACACAAAACTCTGGCCGGTGCACCTTTACCAATAGTACAGTAAAGGTCCTTTCCACTTCCAGAAAGGGTGGCTAGCAAAGTACAGAGGCACATTACTTTGCATAAAGCTACATTTTAGCTGCATGGCTACATGTGGGGCTCTTGCCTTTTATTTGGACAGGACAAAACCATTTATATCTTTACCACAATTATTAGTTTCTTATGCAGATAGAATGAAAAGGGCAAGTGGTTACCTTATAACATATGTCTAGATTTGATCACCTTCTGCATTTTGATGTGTTATGTAGCTATAAAGTCAAGCTGCCTTTCAAGAAGATTGCACATTCCATTAGGGTAAAAACAGTTTCAGGGTACTTCTTTAATAATATTGTGGTGCCAGATCAGCATCTTGCACATCGCACTTTTACTAAGCTTATACCATTTCATCATCTCTAGGGATGATGCTGACTTTGAGAAGGATGGTCTAGAGTTACTTTTCTGATCAATTCTGAACAATTCTCCATAGTTGACTGCTTGTGAGTCATCTGAAGTGGAATAGGCTAGGACTGTTGATTATTTGCAGTAAACTCACATGATTAACTAAAAAAAAGTGATTGCAGAAACGATCACAAATCATAGTTTTTAATTGCACTGTTAATACAGGTGAAATTTATTAAATGTTTTTGTATTCTTCTACATTTTCAAATATATTGTTTTCACTTAAGACAGAATACAAAGTGCATAGTGCACCCTCTGTTTTTTTATTGTAAATATTTTCACCAAATGCCTCAGATATGAAACGATATACCTGTGCACATTGTTATGATTAGCTTTTAAAAACCAAGACATAACAGGACTTGATATGAACCATTTCCACTACCTGCATCTTGTTCTACCCATGAGACTGCAAATAATTTTTTTTATAGATGAACTTGGGAGAAGCTAGACTGTTCCTTCCAGAGGAAGAATTCACCAACACCGTGCAAGTGTTTATCAACTTACGGATATTCAGGGCAGACTCATTACTTTTTCCTGTGGCTGGTGGTCTCATGACATCATGAGTTTGTGACTCATCATACCCAACTACTATATGAGACGTTTACTTCACCAGGTGGCATGATATCATACCCTGAATATAGACAGATTTCTACAGAAGCTCTTAGTCTAGCTCCTGTGGAAGGATCAGCTCACCTGTTAGAAGTCCAAGGACACTGTTCTGCAAGAAGTGGCCCTACCCTCCTGTTCCTAACTATCATGATCCCCACAGATGGCTTCAGTTTTTTTAGGTGAAGTTTACGTACAGTTTTATATGTACACTATCTCTCAGATATTACATTAATGCATTTTTAATTCCGAGGATTTGGAAAAAACAAACCTGGTAATAGATCTTCGTTCTAAGAATGACCATATCAAATGAGACTTGTCATATTTTATCTCAAGCAAGTTGAACATACAGAGTTCTTATGGGGTAATATTGGGATAGAAATTGAATGTTAGAAAAGAGTGTTTGAGCGGAATTTCTCAGTTAAAAATAAAGGTGGTCAAATGGGATTTTTGTTTATACAAGTTTTGGCATTACAATAAGGCCAACGGATTATTTTTCAGTTTTAAATAATGTGAATACTCCGAAAAGCATTTTTTGCAACTGTTAAATTCACTTTATAATTTTGGGGATAGGTGTTTGTTTTCTTGACTCTTTTTAGAGAAACCAGTGCTTACTTAACACTGAACCCTCTCCCCCCTCAAGTCTGTTCCTTACTCTGGCACTTCGAGTGCAGAAGGTGGGGTCCCTCAAGAGACTTTAAAATACCCTACTTCTAAAAGCTTCTTCTTAAAAACTCCCCAAGATCACAGATTCCCTTTGAAAACTCAGGAAGACACACATGGGAATTTCTTCCTGTGGGGTACCCTCAAACTCTTTAACCCTCTTTCTGGAGAGCATTTGTAAACAAACTAGTTTCTTAATAACTGACCTTGCATTTTAGGCATATGCACACAGAAGCTCCTGCATTCTATGACACAGAATCAGTTCATAGTTTTAAAAAGGTGATTTTTCTTAACAAAACAAAGACAACATACTTGGTAAAGCATATTTGGTTACTAGGTGTTACTGTTCAACTGAAAAAAGGCCGATTAAAAATACAGAGAATTGCTTCCCTGGGATTTAGTTGAAAAGTTAGCATATGTACTAACATTGGTTCAGCACAGAGGTGTTCCAAAAACCCCAAAATAAAGAAAATAACCTGATGGTGTCCGACTAAATGTTTCCTGTTCTACTTACATATCTTTCATTCCAAAATTTAGTCCTTCCCTAAGTATGGATATCGCTGGAAAATCCATGCCTTGTTCGTGGCTTAACTCCCCTCTCCCAGCTCATTCTCTGATCACATAAAGACTGCAGCAGGAAGGTCCTGCTTCAGTTAAAAAACTCACACTCTCTTTTCATTGTCTCTCTGGCAACATTTCCTGGAGACTCTCAAGGACCCATTGTCTCTGGGTTTAACCATTACAGGCAGTTTAGTTAACTGAAAGGCTTGGATGTCCAGAAGAGGGTAATAGCTCTCCCATTCATCACACCTCCACAGAAGATACTTTTTCTTTGTTTCTTGTTTTCTTGGACTGTCTGCCATCAGTCTATTGTGTCTTGCTTTAGCTAATATGTTCTTTGGGGCAGAGACCATTTTTTGTTCTTTGTACAGAGCCTAGCAGAGTAGGGTTCTGGCTCCTTGACTGGGGCTCCTAGGCACAATGGATTTTCTGTGGCCAGAGCCTCATTGGTGATTGGGGGTTAGGGGCAAGGCAGGATCCCCTCTCTTAGTGTGTTAGATTTCTGTTACCAATCTGCCTGAGGCATCAGGTGATCAGGCTGAAGCTACAGGATCGTTAAGGGAGGAGATGACAGAACACACCAAGTGTCTAAGTTTTAAAGCTTTATTGATAAAATAATAAAATAACAGCGGAGAGTGATGGGTGCTTCCCACGTCACTCAGAGGAAGGAAGGGAGAAAGCGTTTGTATCCTGAGCCCTAACCCACTTTCATACTCTCACACACACTACCCAAAACAGGCCAGGCCTGGGTGTAACATAAGAAGAAGAGGGGGAAGGGTGGATGGGAGTTTGATCTTGTGCGCACAGGTCGTCCAGGGTCTGCTGTGATCTCTGAATTGCTCCAGCTCTTAGGAGGGTTTTAAGTCTTGGGCTACTTTGGGAGTCTTTCAATCCATGACCTCTGTTCCTGGTGCTCGTTGTGCCAGTCCAAACCTGCTTTCTGTGGTGGTCTCGACTTTCCCAAAACATACCAGCTAGACTCTGTTGTCCTCTTTGTTTTCCTTCGTGCTGTCCTTTGCTTGTCTCGCTTGTTATGGGCTGTCTCTGCAGGTCTGTTCAGTTGAATCTGCCTTTCTCACGGCTGGTCGGTAGATTCCAGGCCTCCCTCTTTCTTGGGTGGCAGCTGAGAGTCAGATGTGTGCTGTGGCCTTGAGCTGGCTGGAGTCAGCCTCTTATCTTCGGGCCTAGCAGGAGCGTGGCGTTAACGTGTTCTCTGCTCTCCTCATCCCCTCTCCCCCGGCATCTCGCGCCTTGCAAAGGAATCCTTCATTCATTCCACACACACACTTTTGACCCTTCCCAAAATGTCCTGCAATGCTTGCAACAGTGCTAGCAATATACAATGCTGACCTGCCTCCCCAGGGGGACCCCCTTGAGGGAGGGGGCCATTGGGGTGTGACATTAGGGCCAGTAGCAGGTGGTCGGTCACTATCCTGCCCTCCTTGGGAGCCACAAATGCTGGAGGGACAAGCAGCTGGTATTAATTCCCTACCATGCTGGTTGAAGTGGGACTTGGGCTTCTGGCTTCAGCCCTGATGTGGTGGGGTGGTGAGCACTGTCACCTGGCTGTGGAGCTTTGGGCTCTGTCTCCGTCCCGTTCCTCAAACTTCCCCCCTTCACTTGTAGCCCCTGCTGCCTCCTCTGGCCCTGGGCTCTGGCCACATGGCAGTGGGCTCTCTTTCCCAGCTACTGGGTTTCAGGCTCTGGCTGTGAGGCTACCAGATTCAGCCCCTGGCCACCCGGCAGTGGTGGGCTCACTGTCTTTAATTGTGCCTGGTTGCTACTGCGTCCTCCAACCCCGGGTTTCAGCCATGCGCTCTGACCCTGGCTCTGTGGTGGCACACCAGGCTCTGGTCCCTGGCCTGTGGGTTCTGGCTCTGGTCTTACCAACTCATTCCACCTGTCTTTGGCACCTGCTGCCTCCCTACTGACTCATCCTGGGACTAATTCGTGCCCCAGCTTGTCAGGGCTCAGTAAGTCCGTTGTGAAAAGTGATATTTGTATGCTTGGTAATATACTACTTTTTGCTGCCTCCCTGCTAGCTAGCAAATTTGCTGCTGTAGAAAATATTAACAACCATACAATTATCACTTTTCATAGAAACAGACTTACTAACTAGCAAGTTAAAAAAAAAACCAAAAAGAAATAACAGCAGAAGACAAGAACATATGAACCACCTTATTTGACTTACTTGTTTTTCCTAAAGTGAATTAAGTATTTTAGGAAAAATTGTCAAGTAGCCACTAGCAGGAGCTGAACTCTGAGGCCACCAAAATTTGTGGTGAGAACACCTTAATATACATGCTTTATGAAGAGAAATGTGGAAATCTATCCAGCCCCAAATTTGTCTGTCTAGCCCACATTTTGGTGTTACTAAAAGTTAGTTTGTAAGTTTTATACTTAAATATTAAGTTATGACTTTTTTCACTTGGTATAGTAGTTTACTGTGTTTGCCATTCTTTTATTTGTAGGATCCTGTGTGTCAGCCTCTAACAACATCTCCTGCTAATCTGATACAACCTGTTGATAATAAATGGAAGAATGTAAGTATAGTTCTTTTCTTAATTTATTTGTATTGATTCTGAGATGGCAGGCATGTTAAAAGAAAAAGGAAATTTTAGCTATCATAGCTTTGCAGGCAGTTGTTAATATTATGTATTAACAAACGTATGGTTGTTTTCTGGAAGATGGGTTGATGTTTGATAAGGGCATTATATAATGCTGTGCTAACTTTGTGAATGCAAATCTGTTAATGCATGTAAATGGTTATTTAGGAGTACAGGCAGTCCCCGAGTTACGCGGATCTGACTTACGTCGGATCCGCAGTTACGAACAGGGCCCTCCCTCTCCCTGGTCTCCAGCAGACCAGGGAGAGGAAGCAAAGCGGCGGAACACGCGGGCAGCGGACAGCCCAGACGCGTCTGAGCTGTCCACTGCCCGCGTGCTCCACGGCTTTGCTCTGCTTTGCTCCCCATCCCCCTGGTCTGCAGACCAGGGGGACGGGGAGCAAAGCAGAGCAAAGCCGCGGAGCACGCGGACAGACCAGGGGAACGGGACAGGAGCACGTCTGCAGACCAGGGGGACGGGGAGCAAAGCAGAGCAAAGCCGCGGAGCACGCGGACAGACCAGGGGAACGGGACAGGAGCACGTCTGCAGACCAGGGGGACGGGGAGCAAAGCAGAGCAAAGCCGCGGAGCACGCGGACAGACCAGGGGAACGGGACAGGAGCACGTCTGCAGACCAGGGGGACGGGGAGCAAAGCAGAGCAAAGCCGCGGAGCACGCGGACAGACCAGGGGAACGGGACAGGAGCACGTCTGCAGACCAGGGGGACGGGGAGCAAAGCAGAGCAAAGCCGCGGAGCACGCGGACAGACCAGGGGAACGGGACAGGAGCACGTCTGCAGACCAGGGGGACGGGGAGCAAAGCAGAGCAAAGCCGCGGAGCACGCGGACAGACCAGGGGAACGGGACAGGAGCACGTCTGCAGACCAGGGGGACGGGGAGCAAAGCAGAGCAAAGCCGCGGAGCACGCGGACAGACCAGGGGAACGGGACAGGAGCACGTCTGCAGACCAGGGGGACGGGGAGCAAAGCAGAGCAAAGCCGCGGAGCACGCGTTCTTAAGTTGAATCTGTATGTAAGTCAGAACTGGCGTCCAGATTCAGCCGCTGTTGAAACTGATCAGTTTCAGCAATGGCTGAATCTGGACGCCAATTCCAACTTACATACAGATTCAACTTAAGAACAAACCTACAGTCCCTATCTTGTACGTAACCCGGGGACTGCCTGTATAACAAATTGATACATATTCATTTTCTGATAAGTTCATACATAACTCCATGCAAAAACTCTTGGAAAACATGTCAGATTCAGTCAGTGTATGGCAGGTAATAGGACCTGCACATCATAAAAATACTCTAAAAGCACCAAATCTTTTATGGAGGACTTGTGCAATACAGGAATCGTTCAAGACAACTGCAAGGCTGTCTTCCCAGGACTCTTTAACAAGCTCCAGCATGATGGCTGGTGGCAGAAGACAAGTGTCTTGGGTAAAGCCATAACACATAGTGCTACAAAACTTCCTGGTAGTGCTGTGGCCCACGTAGCCTACAGAACTGTCTTCATTATATCAGGAGTCATAAAAGTAGCTTGCTCTCAGGCTGTAAATTTTAAGGTGTAGGACAGACTCACCCCAAAACCTAATAATTTAATGCTGAGTAAAAATTGTGTGAACTAATCTGAAGAAAATGTACTTGAGATATAAAAATGAGGTGTGCTTTGAAATGCTTTTTAATATATACAATTTTATTACAATTAAAAAGAAACTTGACTTTCATTAAAGGCAGTTGTCTTTCAAAATATATTATTTTCTTTGGCAGATTAACTTACTTTGAGTTTTTCTCTACAAGCTCAACTAGCTTTGTGTGGTAGAAAGCAGGAAGTTTGTATATAATAAAGAATAAGTAGATTGCCTGGGAGGATAAAGGTATTATTACAGAGAAATGAAATTAGAACTTGAAAATACTTTAAGAATGGTATTTTAGCTGGAATGCTTTGGAATACAGTATATTTAGGCCAGGTCTACACTAGACCCGGCAGCTTGGCTTAAGGTATGCATCTCTAGCTACTTATACGGAGGTGGAGTTGGCTTACTTTTAAGCTGAGCTTGTGGTGTTCCCACAGCAAGAGAATGATGGGAGCAAATGCTTCCATCGGCTTCCCTTACTCCTCGCAAAAGCAGGAGTACCGGATGCCAGCAGAGGCACCCCTTGAGTTCGATTGAGCTCTGGAATATCGATCGTGGCAGCGTCAATCTCCACGGAGTAAAGACAAGGCATTAGTCTAGTAAGGTTGCAAGTGGCACTCATATGTTTGGCATACCAGTTTGGTGCTTAAGAAAAACAAGGGCTTAATATGAATAAGACACGGTTGTCATGTATTTACATGTCAGATTGTATTCAAAAGCTTTAAAACAATATTCTAGGCAAAAATGGGCACTCGTGTCCTCCTCTCCCCCTTCATTAATGGATAGGCAAAGCTATTTCTTATGCAACTGGTGATGAGCAGCACGCTTGTGGTCTGAATTTACATGGCTTTGCTGCTTCCTCATTATGACAGAGCTATTGAGGAGAAAGGAAGTGTACAGGCAGAGTCATCCAGTTAGCAGCTCTGCAACCAGAGTAGAATCAGCAGTGAGCAGATGGCTAGCAAAGACTTAGTAGTAAAGATTGAGGGAAAATCTCTAGTCCACTGTGTTTTTTTTCTCCCCTCAGGACTTCAGTTGGTGGGGGAGGTATTTCAGTCACATAGTTACCCGATTAGCATTGACACTGCTATATATATATTTGTTCTTGGTAGAATTATCAGAAGTGTCTTATTGGTGATTTTCATAAGTTACCATTGTCTGCAACTTTCAAAATTAGGTCTTAAATCTCCTATGCTCTTAAGTCACATAGGGCAGTTTTGAAGAGTTTTATAAATATTTTGCTTTCCCAAAAAGGCACTATTTTTGTAAAATGAACAAGCCCTCATTGATTAAAGGTCTGACAGCTTTTCTTTCCTATGTTTGTAAGGAAAGAGTAAAAGCAATAAACAACTAAACAATTCCATGCTTTCTTGTTCTTAAAAGGAATGACTTACAGACATCTTTATTATGGAACAGTAATAAAATAATTTGGCTCTTTGTACTCTATTGTACCGTATATTCCGGCGTACAAGACGACCTCTGATGTTAAAAAACATCCCCCCAAAATCGGGGGTCGTCTTGTACGCCGGATGCACCGCCGCCGGAGCCCCTCCGCGGCTTTGAAAGCCTCGGGGGAAGCCGGCGGGGGGGCATCCCAGGCGCGCATGGGCTGCCCACCCGCCGGATGCCCCGCC